GGGTAACACCAGAAATACCACCTGGATACTTCAACAATACAGGAAGATTTCAAGCTACACCAGAATCATCAGAAGCACAATCTAGTTCTTCTCTACAGCAAACATCGATTGCTGGGTATTCAAGCTTTGCCACTGCTGAAGTGCAACAACGTCTGCAATGTCCCCAGAAACAAATACTTTCCTTCCATAGCACATGCAGAAAGGCAAGGACACCCAGGCTTCCACCAATTGCTCCATCAACAGCAATCATCCGTGCTGCAAAAGTGGTTGTGACGGGAAGACCAGGTGAAAGAGACAAGAATGTTCACCACTCTAGCAGGGTACAGAGTACAAGATATGAGCCATATAGACAGGAGTAACCTCACAACAAATCTGAGGCAAGACGGCCGTACAATGAGAGACGGAGAGCATCATCAACATTGCTCCCTCCAAGAGATGCATTGTTGCATGTGCCTAGGGTGACACCTCCCGCGCCCATACACGAGGGTGAACAGCAAACACCGGATGTAGCGCAAAGCTATACACATGTAAGTATCCATTAAAAAAACATACAAGCACAGTCCACCCCCTAGTACTGTGATAACACCATCTAACATTTTCATCACTATGTTTCTGTTTGCTCATTGTTGCGTGCAGTCACCTAGCATTGAAGCTTACGTTCTGCCAAGGCTAGAAATGTGCTTTGAAACTTTCGAAGAAGCAAAGAACTTCTACAACGTCTATTCAAAGCACGCAGGTTTTGCTATTACGGAAGGCCACAAGGTTGAGAACATAGTCTACCTTTATTGCACGTGCTATGGAGTCTATGAATTAAAGGTTTCAGAAGCAAATAGACAGCAGAACAAGACCACAGCTAGGACTAACTACGAGGCTAAAATTAGGATGAAGAAGCAAAAGGATGGAAGACTAGTCGTAAAAGAGATAATCTGGGGAACACAACCATAGGCTACAGCTCACCATAGAAATGCCTGTCTTTTTGCACTCCCACAAAAACTTTGACAAGACAATATTGGAGTACGTCAAGTACCTGCAGTTCAAAGGCATTGAACATGCGCAAATCATGAGCATACTGGGTGGCGATGAACCAGGTATCTTCTTCCTCGAAATGAATGCCAAAGACCTAATTAACATGTAAGTACAAACTTGTTCTCCTCCCAAAAACCCCCTCTGTCCTTTTTCAATTGTCAGTACAAATATATTACGCAACGCATTACCTGATGCCAGTTCAACATGCATTTTTGCAAATGACTATTCACTTTTAATATGTAGCAAAGCAAAGAATTCATGGATGGATGACGTGGGTGATGTCCTGAAGACTGTCAACTTCTTTAGGGAGATGAAAGAAATAAACAGGGAATTCTTCTCCGACATACAACTTGATGAGTCCGACAGAGTGAAGAACATATTCTGGGCGAACGCGAGCTGCTGAGGGGCATACCAAGACTTCGGTGACTGCGTGGCGTTTGACACCACGTATAAGACCAAAAAATACCATATGCCACTTGGAGTGTTTGTGGGTACCAACAACCACTTTCAGACTACAATCTTTGCTTTCGCCCTGCTAAGAGATGAGGATGCAGATTCATTCAGATGGCTTTTCAAAACATGTTTAAAATGCATGAGAGGGAAAGCTCCTACATGCATCCTCACAGGTACAACCGCAAAAAAAAACCATAACCCTAAACCACACCTAAAAAAAGGAAAATAACACAGTAAAAATGTTGTGTCAGTTCTATTTGTATATATGCACAACCATCAGTTGACCACTCTGAGTCTATTTTCTCATTTCCAGACGAGTGCCCGGCAATGGCTTTGGCGATCCCAGATGTTTTCAAGAACACAGTACATAAGTTATGCCGCTGGCACATTACGAAGAAGTACAGGGAACACATCGCGCACCTATACGACCTGTACAAAACCTTTAAGGATGAATTCACAACAATCCTCAACTGGCCCCTCGTGCCAACTGAAATTGAGACTTCCTGGAAAGATCTCATGGATAGGTACAACCTCCATGATGATGCCACGATGGTGGCAATGTGGAACGAGCGCGAGAAATGGATATCAGCTTACTTCAAAGAAATTTTATGTGCTAGAATGACATCGACACAATGGAGTGAGAGCATGAACTATGTGCTGAAGAAGAACTACGTATGTGAGAGACAAAACCTACACCGGTTTGTCAGCCAGGTAAACACCTGCGTCAAAAAACAGGAGGCAGGCAGAAAACAAGGAGACAATGGGTAACCGGGTATAGCTCTATCACCTGTCATAAGAAAAATAATGTGCTTACTAAAGTAATTCTTTCTTAGTTAGACAAGTTTTGCTACAAGAAAACTAATAATTTGTTCAACACTCTTGCTTGCGCAGAATAAAACAAACACGCTGACCCTCTATGGGTTCGACACTCAGATGGCAAAAGTTTACTCACGAGTTGTGTATAGCGATATCAGAAAAAGGGTAAAGCTGAGCACCCTCTTCACGGTGACGGACACGGAAGAGCCCACAAAGTACCGTGTACGCTACAACAAACCGCAAACATCGTCTGAGTGGTCTCAGCACGCGTTCCAGGTGGTTGCAGACCCCATGGGAGAAATATACGACTGCGAGTGCAAGCTCTGGGACCACGCAGGTGAGTACTAAAAAAATGTTACACGTACTACTTATTTTTGCAAAGTTTTTGTTCGAATGAAATGACAGAAAACATGCACCTCTTCCAGAAAAACAGATATTTTCTATGTGCAGGTCCTGTGCATGATGCAAACAATTAAGGATAAGACCATTCCAGAGAAATACATCCTCAGGAGATAAACCAAACACCCAAACATCCAGCCAACCTTCAACAGAAATGACTTGAGGGCAACAACGGCAAACAAGGCCTCCCAATACTGCATTGAAAGCGCTCTGCTGCTGCAGGTTTTGAGAGTGCATAGGAAAAGCTTGAGAAGCCAAGACCAAATGGCGAGGTCACGGGTAGTCATGGAAAGACTTGAAGAAGAACTCGACGCCATGCATTCTTCTAAAAATGGAGGTGTCATGGACAACGAAGCAGAAAAACTTGAGCAGGATATTGCTACAATCTTATCTGAGATGAACCATATGGGAGATGTTGAACCATACGACAACGAGGAGGAGGAGCAACAGCAATCAGAGCTTCCCGATGAGCACACTCAAGAGTAGCAACATGTTCATGTGCAAGATCATGAACTTGACGGTGCTCTAGGCGAACGACATGACAACAGGAGATCCTACCAGCAGCAACAACAACAAAGGGTAATTAAACCACCCATATACTCATGCACAAAGGAGAGGAAGAGTAAGACGCATGCAGCAAAAGCAGCAAAAGCAGCATCCAAAAAGCCACCATGCCCCATCAAACGCATGGAATACGGCCTGGACGGGAAACCTCTCGGGGTAAGGGCATGCAGATTCTGCAACTGGGTGACCAATCATAATTACCGCACATGCCCACACCGCACAGATGCCATTGCCAACAAGCAAAAGATGCAGAAGCAGATTGGAGCTGCCTAGGTCTCTACCAATGGAGACGACACACGTAGTAGCTACACTTGCGGCAAGTGTGGGGGGACTGATGGACATAATGCCCGCACATGCAAACTGGGCAAGGAGGCCGATGGCGCTGAATAGAAATAGGGCAAGGTCCAGAGTTCCAAAAAATCAAATGAAGAGGATGAAGAAGAAGAGTTTGACGATAATGATGACCAATCAGACGAAGGCAATGAAGATGACAGTATTGGGGACGAGGAAACTGAAACTAATGATGAAGCTGCCAAGGCTCAACCAGGAAAGGGCGCCGGCAAGGTACAACATTCGGGGCCAGTTAGGAGGAGCTCAAGACTGAAGAATCCTTAGTGATTATGCTACTGCAGTACACAATGAGGAAACATTTCAGAAACACTGTCAGTACCAAAACTTATTTAGCTTTGTCGTTGATTTCTCATTCAGTACTATAGTTAAGATATAATTTGTGATTTGTGCCCGCTAGACTAGTGACATTATTATGTAAACAATTTGATAATCCTTTTGAATGCAGTCACAAATATATTAAAAAAAACTTATCTGGATTTATGTAACGCCAACAATACTGTCGACCAGTAACTCGGCAAAACTATCCTCAGAAAACATGGTTTCAAAAAGCAAGCTATGTCTGGTTCTGCCAGTCCTAGTTCAGAAAGTCCATCAGTATAGAATAATAATTACCTCAAGCAAATGCAAATATAATACACCTGTACTGATGAAAAACTAATTTATCTGTAAAAATACTTTCAAAGATTATGTTCATATAAACAATCCTTTCATAAAGACAAAAAATGTTTTAAAAAAGATTAACATGACACACACAGTCCGACTAGTATTTGGTAAGTTCAACTACACTTCAATCACCAGTCCAAGTAACGCAGTAGAGAAGTACAAAACTCCATCACCACCAACCCTGACACATGCAAGTGGGATAAACAGCTGATAAGTACAGCTTGACAAGATGGATCAGTGCGATAGTAAAATGCCATCGTCACCGACCCTGAGACGAGCGCAGTGGGATAAAGGAACTGATAAGTACAGCTTGACAAGACTACTTAGTTCGACTAGATTAATACCCTGGCAGAGAAATTGGCTTGGACGGTTGGTTCTTCCAGGCCACCGCCCGCACCACACACTGGGCGGTTGCCACAAGGGACTGCAAACAGCGACACCCACGACCACTACACCCACGTCCCCAATGAACCGCCTCCCACACATCCCCGTCCAGGCCCAAGAAATAAACCATTGTCTTCCATCTCTACCTCATTCCAAGAACCACCATCGCCGCTTCCATCTCCACCACAGACAACCTAGAAACTTCTCTCTTCCAAGCCCACAGTCGCCGGAAGAGGGCAATGGCGGAGGAACCGTCCGCCAAGCATCATCATGGCGAGACGTCTGACAAGTGATACGACCTCGACGACGTTCACGTCCCTGGCGAGAAGTGCGCGTACACAAAAATGCTCAAAGGGCTTGAGCTCCACGGCAACGAGATGCTGGAGATCGTCTGCACCAGCGAACCAGACAAGGCCGATGAGATGATCACCAGGCTCTGGAGGAAGGCTGGCGGCTGTCATCGTAAGATCGTTGGTCTTGGTGTGCACTACACCAGGGAAGACAAACCTCCCCAGATGGCAGCAGTCCTGCAGTTGTGCGTGGATGAACTCTTCCTGGTGTACCACATTGCAGCAGCCACGAAATGGTGACCCATCCTACTCATTTGCCCTGTTTGGTTCATCTATTTAATTACTACTCATTTAAATTCAAACTTGTTTCTCAACTAGATGTACTAGTGTGGTTTGTGAAAGTGGATGCACTAGTGCATTTTCTCAAGTAGATACACCATAAGTGTATTTTTGAACTAGTGCAATATCTGATCTTGATCCGATAGTGTAGTTTCTGTACTCAATGTATTAAAAATATGTTTCTGAACTTGATGTAGTGAAGTAGTATCTGAATTTGGTCTCATGTTATTTTCATAAGCAAAAAACTAAGAACTTGCTGAAGCACTGGTATGTGTTGTCCTATTCAACAAAAGTAAATAAACTAGTACAAAAGCAGCACATACAACATTGGCTCAAACTATATACAATCCAAAAAGAAAAATAACATGATGTACTTGAATTAAATTTCAGAACTTTGTTTACTAATTTCTGAAGTACATTCATCCATTAATTATGCTATATAAGCATCTACTTCATGGATTCATTGCTTATAGAATATAAACAAAAATGATGAATTCAAACATCAAAGTAATGCTAATCTTCAAAATGTCTCTCCCCTTGCAGGCCCAAGTGCCTCAATGAGATGCTGAAGCATGAGAAGTTGTTCACATTTGCCGGTTTCAGCATTGAAGGCGACAAAGAGAAGATGAAGATGTCTGGCCTTCCAACGATCAACCCCAACAAGTATGTCGACATTCAGCGCTTCTGGAGAATTCCATACACCGGAAAAGAGTATGACTCCTTGACTGATGTTGCAGCTAGCGTCATCCACCCATTCTACAAAGGCATGAATAAGAACATTGACACGCAGGAAGACCACAAACTGTGGGTGATCAGCCCGCTGCCAGACAAGCTCATCGAGTACGAGGGAAAAGATGCGTACGCCATGTTCAAGTCATGGAAGATAATCGACAACATCACAAATGGTAGGGAAATTGCAAAAGCGCGGGAGGTTGACCACTACTACGACCGCCCCTTCCGCCCCTTTTAGGGATGAAGATACATCAAAGCCTGCCTTCGCTTTGCTTATGTTTGTGCTTGCCTTTTATCTTGTTGTTTCAAATTCGTAGTTTGCTCTTGTTGGGTTGAACCAGTATGACTATGTTGTGCTTGTCATTGTCGAACAAATTTACTTATGTCATGAAGTACATTGTCTTGCTTATCTCATTATATAAGTTTGGTAGCTTCATATTTTGTTAATACATCATTTCAAAATTCAAAGTAGCTTCTCAAATGGAACTTTGTGGCTGCTCTAAAGTACTAGTTATGAAGCAACTAATCACACAACGTTGTTCCATGTGTAGTATTGTATAGAAAACATAACGTTGAAAACAATCAATACAAATTGAGTTGACTAACAACACTTCAAAAGTTGAAGCAGAAATTCTAAGTACTTAATGTACTGTTCTCATACATATGTACTTACTAGAAAATTAACAAGTACTACAAACATAAAAAGTTAAGAAGCATCAGCACACACTTATGTTGGTCACTTGAGGATTGCGGACTTAGAATGACAGTACTAGTACACTTGATCAAACAGTACATACTTACTACAATAAAAAGTACAAAGAAGCATCAGTTCATATTCCCCCCCCCCCCAAAATGTCAGACTAAGAACGTAAGTGCTACTATGAATGGACTATCAGTACAATTTAGTCTACACGCAAGTACCATAGTGCTAAAAATGATACCAGAAGACACTTGAGAATAATCACAAAAACAAACACAAAACAAGGCAAAAAACTTCAAATGAAAAAATAACACTTCCACAGAACTAGAACAAAAATGGATCAGTCCAAGTTACTGGTGGAGTCAAGTACTAGATTCAAACCAAAAAAAGAAAATTTTGACCGCCCAAGAATAGGTAGGCCTTGACGCTGCTACATACTTGAACTCGAACCCACGGCAGAACCGTCGGTGAATCCCTAGTAATCCGCACAATGCAGGGCCAGCCAACCAGGGCCCACAGGTCATGAGAGAGAGAGCGAGCGCCGTGTATAAGCGCTCAGGTAAGTATTCAAAGGAGTTCGACCAGTAGGACTCGGCCGCGCTTATAAACAGGTCGAGGGCTTCCTCCCTTAGTGAGGTGGTACTAAACCCAGAGCACACGCACATCCAGCAGTCCCCAAAACGCACGCGCGGGCCAGTTGGGCCGGAAAACGGCCCAATAGCCTCCATCGTCTATAAACACCACACCAATAAGGCCAGTTAAACAAAGCAGAGCGCGGTGCAAAGAAATATAAACTACAAAAAAATGTTCGAAAACTGAAAATATAAAAGTTCAACTACTAGTTTGTAGGTAATAACTTTAAAATACAAAAAATAAAAATAAAAATAATTTTAGCCCTGCACCACGGATGATAAAAAAACAAAAAAATATGATACAAAAACAATGAAATTCTACAAAGCAGAGAACTTAATAGCCTATATGTTAAATGTACATAATTTAGAAAACCAAATTAAATATTACTTTGAAGTTCAACTACTAAAATGCAAGAAGTCAAATAGATTTTCTTTGTCATTTCTGCTAAACTCCTTATTTATGTAAAATCTGATAAGTTCAACTACTAAAATGCAAGAAGTTCAAATAGATTTTCTTTGTCATTTCTGTTAAACTCCTTATTTATGTAAAATCTGACAAGTTCAACTACTAAAATGCAAGAAGTTCAAATAGATTTTCTTTGTATTTTCTGCTAAGCTTCTTATTTATGTAAAATCTAACAATTTCAACTACTAAAATGCAAGAAGTTCAAATAGATTTTCTTTGTCAATTCTGTTAAATTTCTTATTTATGTAAAATCTGTCAACACCTCAATGAACAATTTCGTCATAAATAATCTCAAACCCCCACCCCTCAGTACAAACATACATATGACATCAGTTCTAAAAAAGCAGGAACAGTCAGGCCACTCACACCAATGTGACATGAAATTTCAAAATCGTACACTGTATGAAATTACAATTCAGTTCACACAGCACTAAACCATAAGTGCACTAAAAAGAGAATACAAGAACTATAAAAGGCCTAACTTAGGTTCGAACAGATGAAAATAAAATAAGTCCCAGTTTTGAGCAACAACTCCCAGGGCACTGAAAAATGTTTTAAGATCAACTAGTGTATAAGACTTCAGTAGAAAAACAAGACATAACCTCCACATGGATAAACATCATAAAAAGCGTACGTTACTTAAACAGTGCAAAATGCCATCATCACCACCCTTGAGACGTGCAAGTGGGATAAGCAGCTGATAAGTACAGCTTGACAAGACAGATCAGTGTGACAGTAGAGACCCTTGACTTGGACGGTTTGTTCTTCCAGGCCACCACCTGCGCCACCCAATGGGTGGTTGCCACAAGGGACTGCAAACAGCGATACCCACGACCACTACACCCACGTCCCTGACGAACCGCCTCCCACACATCCTCGTCCACGCCCTGGAAATAACCCATTGTCTTCCATCTCTAACTCATTCCAAGAACCACCATTGCCGCTTCAATCTCCACTGCACACAAACCACAAACTTCTCTCTCCCAAGCCCACAGTCACCGGAGGAGGGCGATGGCGGAGGAACCATCCGCCAAGCGTCATCATGGTGAGACGTCCAACAAGAGTAGCAACCTCGATGACGTTCACGTCCTCGGCTTGAAGCGTGCGTACACCAGAACGCTCAAAGGGGTTGAGCTCCATGGCAAGGAGACACTGGAGATCGTCTGCACCAGCGAACCAAACAAGGCCGACGAGATGATGAGTAGGCGCAAGATGAAGGGCGACGGCTTGTATCCGAGCTTCATCGGAGTTGATGTGGACTACACCAGCAAAGATGAACCTCCCCAGATGGCAGCAGTCCTGCAGTTGTGCGTCGAGGAACTCTGCTTGGTGTACCACATCGCAGCAACCACAAAATGGTAACCCATACTATTGTTCATTCATCTGTACTAGTACTACTCCCTAAAAATTTCATTAAACTTTTTTCCCAACTAAATGAACTACTATTGTTCGTGAAGTGGATGCAGGAGTACATGTTTATCAAGTTTCATGCATTTCTGAAATTGTGAAGTGGATTGTTTCACCAGATTAGCATTTGAAACTCATGCACTAGATTAGCATCTGAAAAAATGTTTCACCAAATTAATTTCTGAACTTGATGCACTAGCATAGATTCTGATCTTGATGCACTAGCATAGTTTATAGAATTGATGTACTAAAAGATGTTTGATGAAGTGATATAGGTCCATATCTTGATGCACATGTTTCTCGAATTAATTTCTGAACTTGATATAGAATTGATGATCAAAGATGTATCAAGCACTGGTATAGGTCTTTTATTCAACAAAAAAGAAAACTGAACTTGAAGTAAGCAACACATATATCATCGACTCTGGTAAATAGGTTCTTGAACTTGGTGAAGCATTTGGTGAAGCACTGAAGATACCAAAAAAGAAAAATAACATGGTGTAGTTGAATTTAATTACAGGACTTTGTGTACTAGTTTGTGAACTACATTCATCCATGACTTGTACTATATAAGCATCTACCTCATGGATTATCACTTGTAAACAAAAAAGTAGGAGAACTAAATCTTCAAAAAAACACTAATCTTCAATATGTGTCTCCCCCCTTGTAGGCCCAAGCGCCTCAAACAGTTCCTGCGGGAGGAGAAATTGTACACATTTGTCGGTTTCAGCATTGAAGGTGACAACAAGATGCTGAACAAGTCTAGTTTGGAGATCAACCCTAACAACTTCATTGATATGCAGCGCAAGTGGAAAGTTCCAACCACAAACAAATTCTATGACTCCTTGGTCGATGTTGCAGCCAGCGTCATCCACCCGTTCTACAAAGGCATGAAGTAGAACATCAACAAGGAGGAAGACCACAAATTGTGGGGGACCAGCCCGCTACCAGACAACCTCATCGAGTACGTAGGAAAAGATGCGTACGCCACGTACAAGTCATGGAAGATAATCAACGACATCGTGACAGGTTGGGATATTGCACAAGAGCAGGAGGCTGATCACTACTACCACTGCAACTTTGCGGGATGAAGAGGCATGAAAGTCTGCCTCCTTGTTGCTCGCGCTTCTGCTTGTTCTTATCTTGTTGTTTCAGATTCGTAATTTGCTTTCGTTAGGTTGAACCAGCTTCCGTATGTTATGTGTGTCAGGGTTTGAACAAGTTTGCCTATGTCTATCAAGTACATCGTTTGCTTATGTCGTTCGACAAGTTTGCTAGCTTCCTATTTTGTTTATCCATCATTTGAAGTTGAAGTAGGTTGTGAATGAAACTTGATGGCTACTATGCAGCACTAGTCATGGAGCAAACAAATCACACATGGATATTTTCACAAAAAAACAATGGCAGACTAACTAAGGACAACAACAAATAGTAGCCTTGGACCCTCAATACAGCTTAGACATCTACTGTAGTACTACCACACTAAAAATCAGTTTTTAGTTTCAGAAGAACACTAAAAAGACTAAGTTCCAGCCGAGGACATCATTCAGTACTAATAGAATCATTCTCATAGTAGTTAGAAAATAATTAAGTACTGCAACAGGAAAAGCAAAGAACCATCAATACGTATTTCCTAGTCACTAGCATGCTAGGATTGAAAGTATTGGTACACTTGAACACACAGTGCATTCATTCTACAAAAATAAAAAGGAACTGGAAGCTTCAGTTCGCATTCCCTAACACAGTGACACAGAAAGAATAATAGTAATAGTAAAATTGAAATATCAGTACAACTTAGTCTATACGGCAGGTACTATGATGATACCAAATATTGCCTTAAGAAAAACCACATCCTAGAAAAAGAAGGCCATAACTAAATCAAAAAGATATCAGTTCAACCAAGGAGAAAAATCACAAGAAAGACAACAGAAGCATCCGCAGACATGACCAGTGAGGTACTAGTTTCAAACAACACAAAAAAATATAAATAATCAAAGTACTAGCACAATTAAAATCTCAGTACAACTTAGTTT